GTGTGTGTGTGTGTCTCTGTGTGTGTGTGTGTGTTCACCTGTTCTGTGTGCTCTCCTCTTTACAGGAGTGTGTGTGTCGTCCCGTGACGCTCTTCTCTCCTTCCTCTGAGACTTTCCCGAGGTCAGCTGAGCCCAGCTTCCTGCTGCTGGACGGTCTGAAGGAACAAACGTGTCAGAATGAATCTCCAGATGATGACGAGTGTCAGATGAATCATGAATCTTGACTCACTTCACATAGTCGTGTCCGGCTCGAGGAGGAAGAGTCCTGCCCTTCGGTCCGCCCGTCTCGTCCTTATCCACACTGATCCACTCTGAAGATGAGAGAGACAAACTAATGACTCGTGTTTGTGTGTGTGTGTGTGTGTATATATATTTATATGACCAAAACAAATATAGTTTCTGTGTATAATGTACCGTAGAGTCGTTCTCTTGTTCCCATGCGTTCAGACGGGACTCGGACCCTCATGGAGCCGCGGATGTTACCCGTTTCTTCACCGCGGTGAGACAGGTAAGTGTGGAACTGCTGCGTCGTGCTGCCAATCATAGATTTTAGCGCCAGTACACACTCACCTGAAACGTGCACACACACAAAAACACACACACACACACACACATGTAAATCCCACCTTTAGAAAATGACAGTTTTTGGTGCAACCCTTTTATTATTATTATAAATATAATTATTTTAAAATTATTATAAAGTGATTTCAGGTAAAAATAAAATGCTCACACTATAAATAAAATAAATAAAAATAATACAATTTAATTTAATTACAAAAATAAAATAACAAAATAAAATGTATTTAATTGTATGCTTTTTATTTATTTTATTTTAAATTAAATTAAAATAGAATTAAATAAAATGCTTTTAATTCAATCTAATAAAAGAAATAAAGTAAAATAAATAAAATTTAATTCTATGCTTTTTATTTATTTTATTTTAATTTGAAATAAAATAAAATAAAATACCTCCAAACACACTTAGCAAAATATAACAAGAATGCAACCTTTCCTCTGGTCTATCAGAACACAAATTCACACAAATAAATGCTGTATTCTCAGCTCTACACAAGATGGCGCTACAGCAGACATCAGTTTACATCCTCTTCTTCTGAGGTCTGGTTTCTCTTCAGTGGTTTAGCAACAGTTTAAAGAGCATCTAGCTAAAGACCTTAGTTAAAGTTAGTTGAAGTGTTGACATGATAGCAGCGAGCTGATTAATAATAATGTGTTTAATGCGGTTTATTAAGGACAGAGCGCACACGTACCGTAGGACTCGTATCCATCCAGGGATTTGACGGTCAGCAGCAGATGCTGGTCCTGCAGATACTCTATGTCGGACAGAATGGGCTTCAGTGTGGTCAGCTGTTTGGATGTCCAGCCCACGCGCAGGAAGTTCACGTTATCACTGCTCTGAGTGTCGTTCTCATAGCTCTTCTTAAACTCTACACAGAAACAGACAGATACAGACTCAGAGACTGATGTATTATCAGTAAATGCATCATTCATTCATTTTGTGAGCCTCCAGGCATTCAGGGCTAAACTCTGGATCGGGAGGGCGCTTTCAAGGAGCGGGCACTGGAGGGCACTTTCTAGGAGGAGGCACCGGAGGGCGCTCTGGGCTGGATTCGGGGACTGGTCCCTCTCCCTCTTCGCTTTGGCACATTCGCCGCGCCATACTCAGCTCACCCTCAGCCGCGGTGCAGGGGGCGGAGCTCCTCGAAAGCGCTCACCCCGTCCATGGCTTTCTCCCTCGTGGCGGGCATTGTTACCGGCTCATGCACCTGGTCTGACGGGTTCAGCTCTACGTACGGGGCGATCCTCTGCTCAGTCGCTCGGCTTTGCACTGGCTCGCTGATCGTGGCGGGAAATGGCTCTCCGTCAACAGTGGGCTCGGGCTGATGCTCCGCATCACGGGGAGATGGTGGGCTGGGCTCTGGGTCGGGAGTGGTACTGGCGAGATACTCTTGGGAACAGGCGAGGTACGGAGATTGTTGCTCCGCATCGCGGGGAGATGGTGGGCTGGGCTCTGGGTCGGGAGTGGTACTGGCGAGATTCTCCTCGGAACTGACGGTGAGCAGGGATCCGTTTCTCGCCAGTATCCACTCCACAAAGGTGGTGAAATCATGCTCGAGGACCATCTTCGGACGACGGCGCTCTGCACTGCACGATGTTTAGACTGGCGTCGTAGAACGTACAGAGCACGTCGTCCGGGTAGCTGGAGGTGCTTGCTAGCAGCTGGAACAGTCTCGTATGGTCCTCGAGCGATTTCTACCCCTGCTCCAGCAGGAGGAGGAGAAATTCTGGGCGAAGGAGGGCATCCATGAGGGAACAATGGGAAACAAAAAACACTGAACGACGGAAACAAAATATATATATATATATATATATAGTCTATTTAGCTTTAGTTTATTTTTTATTTCACTTTTAATAATTTTAGAAATTAAACTTATTTATTTCAGTTAGTTGCTAAGGCAACATTTCTAATTTTCACTTCAATTTTTTAAAGGTTTTTCATTTTAGTTTTAGTAATTTTGTTATGTGCTTTTGTCACTGTTTTTCTGTTCATACGTATTTATTTTTATTTCTCTCTTCTCTTTTTTCTATTTAACTTTAAGTTCTAAAATTAATAAAACTAAAAACAAAAGCTAATAATAAAAAAATAAACAAGAACAAATAAAAACTAATAACAATGACAAAAGCGCGTAACAAACTGACTAAAAAAAACTAAAAAAAACAAATAATACAAATTTAAAAGATAATTATTGCCTTGGTAACAGAAATAAGTTTAAGTTCTAAAATTATTAAAACTGAAAAAACGTATTTATGTGAGTTGCCAAGGCAGAAAGGAAGAAATTATTTCTGCTATTCTAATTTAGCTATATCTTCTAATTTTCTAATATTAAAATTTTCAGTCAAAATTAATTTTTTCATTTTAGAAATGTTATGTTTTAGTCATTGTTATTTGCTTGTTTGCTTTAATTGACTTCATTATATATATTTTACTCATTTCAGTTAGTTGCCAAAGCAACATTTCTAATTTTCATTTAAGATTTTTATCTAATATTTAATCTTTCAATTACAGAAAATGATGTGTAATAGTTGTAGTTTTAGTTCACAATAACAACATCAGTCTCAGTCCGCATGGTTTCCTGCTGAATATTCAGTGTTACACAGAAACAAGGATTTTTCATTTCTCATTTTCTGTAAAGTATGTGGAGCATGTGGAGATCAGATTTCTGCTGGTTATAATGATGAATCTTATCTTATAAAGTCTCTCACATATAAACTTCCTCGTTGGAGGAACTCGATGACTTGGTTTCTTACCCTCCAGACAGGTTGAGTAGAACTCGATGAAGAATTTGGTTCTGCTGGCCGTCTTGACGATGGCTTCGATGTTCTCGAACTCGATGTAGGCCTGTTCTGAAGACTTGGGCAGACCTGCGGAGGAACAGCAGCTCGACGTGAGAAACACACGAGAAACACGAGAAACTGAGCCGTGAAAACACACGCCGTACCTTTCTTAGAGACGAACTGAGACGTGACGCCCACCTCGAACGTGCCGAAGACCGGCGAGTGATCGCTGGTGACAATATCATCTGTACAGCCTGACACACACACACACACACACACACACGGTCATTAAACAGCGCTTGAGCTCAGTTACTGACAGAGGCTGTTATTTGTCATTTATTTTGAGAGTAGAGCTGGATTATATAGGAGATTAATTTCACTCATTTTAAACCTTTTGATAATCTTAAATATGTATCGCAATATTTATGCATTTGCTCTAAAATTATTTTAAATGATTGTCAACAAGTAGTTTAATAGTTTTTTTTTTATAAATTTCAATGATACAGTTTTTTATATAATTTATATGTTATCATTAAAAAAAAAATTTTACTTAAAAAAACACACCAAAATGTGTGTATTATATATATAATAACCATATTAGAATAATATATTACCTTATTTATTATTTATATTAGCGCTTCATCATTAACATATCATACAAATGTGTGTATATATATATATATATATATATATATATAGATAGATAGATATATATATGTGTGCGTGCTGCAAATTTAATTCATTTAATATATATATTTTTTTTATTAAATTTTTTTTTTCATGTTTTTTGATAAATTCATTCATAGATCAATATTTAATCAATATTTATATTTACATACAACACAATAATAAGTATTAATACTTGCATATTTAATGCAATCAAATATATTAAATATTAAACGAAATATTTAAAGAATCAGTATTTAATTATATTCATTTACATGCAACTACACAACAACACATAGTAATAAATATCAATATTTTCATATTTAATTCAATAATATATATGAAATATTAAATTAAATGTTTAAACTATATTTCAAAGCTTTTTTTAATAAAAGAACCCAGGGAAGAATATTTAAATATATTCATTTATATGCAATAATACAACAATACATAGTAATAAGTATCAATACTTGCAGATTTAATGCAGTATTTAATCGCATATTCTACTAAAATATTTTAATATTTTATAATGATTTCTGTCAACATTTTTAATTTTTTGACGTGAACAAGATGGTGAATCAGTTTTGAATCAATTCATTAAAACTTCATGGCCAAATAACAAGAGTTATAACTGCATAAATAATTATAATATTAAGAAATAATAATCAGAAATATTTCTTGAGCAGCAAATCAGCATATTAGAATGATTTCTGAAGATCATGTGACACTGAAGACTGGAGTAATGATGCTGAAAATACAGCTGCGCATCACAGAAATACATTACAGTTTAACAGATATTCATATAGAAAACTGCTTTTAGATTATAATAATATTCCACTATTTTTACAGTATCAAATAAATGCAGTTTTAGTGAGCGGAAGAGACGTCTGACTGCTAGTGTAAATCACTCTGAATATCTCATATATATATATATATATATATATATCGACCTGTTTGAGAGTAACAGCACACAGTAACAGTCAGCTGTTGCCGTGGTAATGTGTCTGGTCACCGTGGTGACTGCGTACCATAAGAGTTGCACATGATGTGTGTCTCCGGATAGGATTTCCAGAGGATTCTGTCACACCATGAAGGCACGTTGGTCCGCATCTGAGAGATGAGAGGAATTTAAAGAATGCCATCAGGACACTTCTCTTCCTTCAGAGGACAGGAAGTAGCCGCCTCAGGACCGTAAACATGTTTGCACAGGATTCTTTCTTCATGCACATGAAGAAGAGCTTCTTTAAAGGGATAGTTCACCCAAAAATGACAATGTGCTGTTAATTTACTCACCCATCCGAGAGGCTTTTTTTTCTGAACAGTAAAGAAGATTTTTAGCTGAAATCGTGCTCCTTGGTGATTCATGAAATGCAAGTCAATGGGTGCCGGCACTTTGAGAGTCAAAAAAGCACATACAGGCAACACAGAATGAATCCCCGTGGCTCCTGATGATATATTGAGATCTTATGAAGCAAAACGATCAGTCTGTGCAAGAAACTGAACATTATTTAACACATTATTACCTGTAATCAAGAGCCCCAGGTCAACAGGCAAATCTGATTCTTTTCTGCAAACTGATTCTTTTGGACAGTTTGATTCAATGAACTGGTTCAGTTCACTAGTTTGTTTATGTAATAATCATGCAATGACGTCACGTATACACAATTATATGATTAAAGCTCCCAATAATGATGTCAAACGTGGATGTTTTATGTGTCTAAAGCAAATAAAGTGAATAAAGTTGTCTTCATCAGCTCATCTTTATACATAAACAATAAGAAACCATAAAAACGTTCAGTTCTCCGCTTCATTCAAGTGTTGGGTTCACGCATACGCACATCAGCGGCCCATCGGTGTTCGGTCCGAGTCGAACCGTTTCCTCAGTTCAGTGTCTGTTGGAGGAACTGAATCGCTGAATGATTCATTCATCACAGGATCAGATAC